GGTGTAACGAGTATACGACATAAGGCTACTTGTAGGAGCTTGTCACTACCATATTCGAACTTCTCTATCGAATCAGGATGCGACAAGAAAGGAGGTTGGTTAGCCTAATAATGGTCCACAAGTATCGATATGCCGACATCAAAATACTCAGTTCTCATGGAATCCTCGTGACTAGAAGATTGGGGAAGTTGAATGCTCCTATTTGACAAACTCGCATCATCAGTTGTCGAATGAATAAGCAAATATTTTATTTTTCGTCGAATGCTTATAGTTATATCTCCCAATTCAATGTTTACGCTATAAAGCTACTCAAACAACACAACAAAGACTCAATGTCAGTGAATTGTCTTCTTCGGGAGGGTAATTGCCAAGTTACCTAGCCATCAAAAAGGACTGCTCACAAAGATAGATATATCGACAAATCTCCTAAATCTTTGTTGCTCGTGCACACAAATAGAAGAGCCAAAACAAAAACATGTAGGGGGGATTATAAAGCCAAGTAAGTCCCACGCATAAAAAAGAGCAAGGAAAAAAAGTTGAAAAGGCAAGGAAAAATCAAAATAGAAAAAGCTCCTGGGACTTACACGTTAGATACCCCTGCATGAGAACTTGAAGTCATAATTACTCAAACTAGTCACGAGTGAAAGTTATCGACTACATTTTGTAAAAGGCGAAAAGGATGATTTCAAATCTACCGTCAACATGGTCACGAGAGTGATGCAGAGTCATTCTCTCAATCAACCTTATCTACACAGTCATGTGGGGCTAGTCATCATATTAATCACCTCAAACGAATAAGATGGGGCTCCCAAGACAAGAATGTTTGCCTAATCTAAAATCCACCCCATGATCATCCTCATTATCCATCACTTGAAGGTTTCAAGATAAACAAAAACTACCATGATAATAAGACTTCAATATCGATGCTTGCACCACATAAGGGTATTTGACATTCATTATTTCGATTCCCAAGGAGAAGTCGCCTACATCATACCAAGACCTCCTTTATCCATCCTTTCAAGGTCAAACAAGGACCTCGATAAATGAGAAGATTTTCAGAATAGGTTACTTCACTACTTGACCTTACCATCAAAACATAAATTTCAAAGAAGGGGCAATGTGAGTCAAAATACATCCACAAAGAACCCAAGACAAGCCACCCTTTCCAGGAAAAAGAATCTCAACCATGATCTCCTATATCCAAAAGCCAATCTCAATCTTGTTTACATTCTGGCGTGGCATTCGTTTATCAACTTGTACCTTCCACACAAGACGGGAAATCTCAGAGAACTTAAATCATTATGTTCAGGCTACCCAATAAAACTACCTTTGAACGAAGTATTTTATACCTCACACCTCCCAGAGAAGTCAATCAAGCATGTCTAGAAAACCAACATCAACAAGACAATACCCGAAATGAAAAATTCCATGTGCACGACATGCTCGCATATCAAGAAGGTCAAGTAAAAGTCACTTCATCACGAGACCACCATGCTACAAAGTCTCCTACAAAATCAACCTACAAAGCACATATCATGAATAAGAATATTATATGGCTAACACATCAACCTCTTACCAGAGTTCAAGGCAGAAAAAGCAGATGACCAACTTTTCTTTAATCACTATAAATTACATGCCTCTGGCTCACTAAGCAGGCGAAGAGGAAATACCATATGGCAAGCCCAGTAAAACAAGAAAATAACACACTCCGAAGGAAGAAGGTACCCACCAGAAATACCCATGGTACTTTAGCACGAGCACATCTAAAAATCAAGTTACTAATTGGGACAATGACATAGTTCTTTATGGATGATCAATTTAAGGAAATCCTTGACAAAAATATCAAAACCATGTGAGGGATTATCCTTTTTCCTTTGCATACCCTTCAAGACATCATCATATGACTCATCATACATCCTTTTTGAATGCACTTCACATACATCATATGGCTTCATTTTCGAATGCATTTCAAGCACTAATCAAATGGCATCATTCATTAGATAGCTAACCTCAAAAAAATTCATATCCAAATAATATATCAATCATTCTTAAAATTCACTTAAGGTGGACCTACATCTTGCATTTGCCCGCCAATACAAAGTTTAGACAATCTTTACCAAACTCAAATTTGGCACATACCTAAGATCTACCTAGACTCAACAAATTGTTTGATTCAACACCTTATATCAAGAACACAACTCTATACCACTCGTCATCAAGTTAAACTTTCACATACTTTTATCACCATGACACACATGATCAACCAGGCTATACTACCATACAAAAAAAAACCAGGATATTATACATAAATCAATCCAGGCCCCACCACCATTATACCTTAAATAACTAACTCATAACCTACTATCATGATACCAAAAAAAGAAGACATGCCCTACTTCCACACAAAAAGACCAATGCAGGCTATACCGCCATGACAAAAACCATTGCAGGCTATACCGCCATAAAAAGAGAACTAAGCTCAGGCTATACCGCCAAGATACAAAGAACCAACGTAGGCTATGCCGCCACAGAAGACTCAAATCATCGGCCAAGATGGACACCCCATGGAGAGTAAGTTGGGAGGCGACATGTCTCGCCCCGAGATCGTGGCGGATCCACTCTCGGTGGCATCACGTTCAAAGCCGTGATAGATCCGCAACTTCAAACTAGTAACGTTAACTTAGTGCTTGTTGGGGGCAACCCAACGTAGGTTTGTTTTCTTTTCCTTGTTTTTGTTTTTGTGTCGAGTGATGAATTCAAGTGGTGAAGTGGTATCCCCATGCCAAATTTTTGTGATTGTGTGTTTCGAGTTGTGTCGTGATTGATAGTAGGCACAGTGGAATAGGTCGAGTAAAAATATTCAGAAGTGCCCTGTTTTCATTGATGTTCACAGAAGAATTATTCTGTTCACGATCTTATAAGATCTGAACAGGCAAACGCGTCCGTGAAACAGGGTGCTTCCACGTGTGTCAAACCCATCGACTGACCAATGTTCACGGACGGATTGTAGTTTTCACGGTCTTAACGACCGTGAACTGGCAAACGCGTCTGTGGACTGAAGGGTTTGCCTGTAAAAAGGGCGTGAACGGTCGTCTTCACTTCACGACCCAAAAGCTCGCCCAAATTTTCAAATCTTGCCAAAAACCGCGAAAATCCGTGGTTTTTGCTAATTTCCCCCATTTTCGGCGAGCCAATCTCAAAACCAAGCACAGACCCATTCTTCCCTCATCAAAAGCGGCCTTTGCTAGTATTTTGGGAAGATTTGGGCCATCTTTTTTCCGGTGAAGTCGTCGGCGGTGAGACTCTGACGAGACTACGATGAACCTCCGCTAACCCTCCTCTGATCTGTTTTCGGCCGATTTTTTTCCTTCCGCCCTCTCCTCACCTCCCTACCATTCCCACTTGAGTCTCCAGGTTGGTTATCAGCTCTACCTTATTTAATTTAGGAGAATCGGATTAGGTAGTGTAGTGAGGAGAATTTTAGTGAATTTAATGTCGAACTTAGCATTAGGACGAGGAATGAGGTAAATTAGGATGATTGAATGGTTGAATGATGTTGCTTGAGCTTATTTGAGCCTTGGTGGGCACGTAAAGATTCGAATTGTTTTTATTTGTGAAATTTTCCCCACCAAGTGCAAATTTTTGAATGAATGAGAAATTTTTATACTAGAGTGGTGGTTGGAAGCCACTTTGGTATGGTTCGAGTTTTAATTTTTGTGTGGATATTCTATGAACACCTAAAACCATGCCCCGGTGTGCTTGAGCTTAAATGTTTAAATAGCATGGGTCCGTAGTGGAAACATAAGTGTGTGTGTGTGGGGGGGGGGGGGACTCCTTTTCCTCCCAATGAGTTGAGATTGACAATTATTTCCACATATCAAATTCCACCTTCCACCTGGGAGGGGAATGGCACATCCAGACTTTTGACGAGTTTGCCCGATCCTTGGGAGTTTACGACGGAAGTGCGGATGAATGCGAAGAGGATGCCATAAGAGCTTGCGACATGAAAGCAACATATCAACAGTTTTGCCTCCCAGAGCACTGACGAACACCTTTTCGATCAACACTCAAGTTGGCTTCTACACTCATGCCACAGTGGTGCATCATCAATGCACTCCTAGCCCGTTCCCTCTACCCGGGCTAACACAATCCGAACAAGATAACTAAGAGGATCTTGCGGGCGTTTACTCGCATTGTGAATCCGTCGTGCAATCTCCATCTTGGTTCCGTCTTAGCAACATCTTTTTCTAGAGCAATAGGGGGAAAACAATGATATATCACATCGATGGGGACATTACCCGTCTCCCTCGTCACTTGAATGTCAATCTTGCGGGGTGTACAAATGAGTGGCACTCCACAAGGTTCGAAGAAGGCACTTTGCGTTCCATGCGTTTGTTGGGATCTTTTGGACCATTCAGGTTCATTGAGGGACTACCTCTCCCATGAGAGGTCCCACCACCAAAGAAGCCACCTACTCGAGCTCTCGGCCGCCACCGCCGTCCTGCGCTCCAGCGCCCCATACCAGCAGCAGGACCACCACCATGAACCATAAACACAGAAATCCCGACACTATTACCACCATAAATCAGAATCCAAAACCTACAAATAAGAATCCCCTTTCACCAAATACTAAAAATCAAAATCCCCATACTTCGCCCTTGCCTTGTTCCCCATTCACCAAAACCTAGAAATCAGAATCCCTTTCCTTCGCCCTTTCCTTGTTCCCCTCTCACCAACACCTAGAAATCAGAAATCCAATCGAAAAGGAAATAAACCAAAAAATTAAAAAAGTGTTTAAACCCGTACCCGTCACTACTAGGCCTCTGCCTCTGGCAAACCTTGTCGCCTGCCAACTTATCTCCTTTATCCTATCCCAAATCAGAAACCCCAGTCGACGATATTTAGACGTCTCCGTCGCCGGTGGTTTCGCGGATGAACTGTCAGTGACTGCTCCATCTCCTCATTCCTTTCCCGCTCACCTCCATCAAAACCCAAAAAAATTATTCAGAATCCTCATCATAGTCGATGTCTTCAATATCTCTGCCGACGAACCCTGCTGATCTTTCTGCCGTGGTCGCCTTCTTCGGAGGAGAAGGGGTCACCTCCGTCTCATCGTTATAGAGGGCGAGAGAAGGAGGGAGGTGGATGGAGATGGAGAAAGAGAAAGAGAAAGAGAGAGTCATTTTTAGAAAAGAGGGCTAGGTTTTCATTTTGTTAGTCGTGAGAGAAAGAGAGAGAAATCAAGAAGTGGGTGATTGGAATTGGATTGTTTTTATTTCTCTCTTTTGTTTGTGTTCCAGAGAGAACAAGAAAAAAGAATGAGAGAAGAGAAGGAGAGAGCGGCTAGGGTTAGAGTCTCCAAAAAAGGGTTTTTATACCAGCTATGTTAAACAAAAAAAACATCTCAGGTAACTCGAACCTGAGACTTCAGGCTCACAAGTCACAACAAAGAAAGTGAACTACCTAACCACTCAGGGTACACATTGTTTCTTGCCTCCTTGATCCTTTCGTTATATATTATTAAAAGTAAGCTTAATACGCAAAATTTACATCGTCCAATGGTGTTAAGACTTCTTTGCGTTGGCCAAGTTACAATTACTTCTAGGTATTTCAAAATGGTAAAACCTTGATTAAATCTGGGCTTCATTCTACTTACATATATTTATCTTAATCACGTGTCAATAGAAACGTGTTAAGATCTCCTTTCCAAAACTTATCAACTTGATCGAACTACGTGGACTTTGATCCTGACTACTTGGGTAGGTAGGCAACCAATAGGTTCGAGTCCAACTAACCAAAAAATCTTTCTTTACCTTTGAGATTTACATCAATAGACGTATGATCAAATCGTAATAATGAATACCTAATTAATCGAATCATATAAGTAAACACGCAATAAGGTGCTTATAATAATACACCCAACCCTTAAAACTTATCGATATAAGTAGTACCAATCTAGGGCTTTGTGGGGTGTGAATACACTTCCACACACGTAACCGTACTCCACACAGTTCATTCGCGGCACCGCTGGCAATCTCGAGACGCTGCTGTTTCGACCTTCGGGGGCGAGGAGTTCAAGGGTTGACATCGCCGTCGAGATCCCCAAGTCGCAGTCATGAACTTCCTCGCGTTCAATTTGTACTTCGTCCGTGTTCTGCATGGGGATACTCTTTGTTTCTCCTTGGCTGCTTCCTCACGAAGTTCGCACCCTGAGCCCTCTAGATCGTGGTTGCGAGCTTAAGCTTCCAGGTCGCGATCTTTGGCTTACCTTCTCCGGCATGGTTCTTAGCCATGATCTCTGGCTACAGGTTGCAATCTTCAGTCTTCTGACTCATTCGCTACACTTCTGACCTTAATTTGTACCTAATTTGCATGATTGTCTAAAGCAACCTTAATATGAAATCAAATAATAACGGAATAGGGATGCAATTGACACTGTTCAAACAATATTACACATGAATTGGCACGAAACAAAACCTTAATATGAAGGTTAACTAACACCAATTTAGGTGTTATCAAACTCCCCCACACTTATGTGTTTGCTTGTCCCCAAGAAAATCTATTCAAATCAATGCAACATGATAGACAAAATAATGGGGAATGCACTCTAGTTCGTTATTACATAAAGAAGAGTAGATGGAGACGAATGAATGTTACTATCATCTTACTGTGCAAGAACAAACTCTCAGGTGAGCACCATACTTACTACCTTAGGATGAACATTCAAGGTGTTCTCCAGGGGATTCTCAAACAACAAATAGGCAGAAGAACTCTCCAAGGTTCTTTTTTTTTTACTCTCTTTAGATTTTAGGAGTTGTCGTTTATTGGTCTCTTTTTTTGACATTGACACGCATTACACCAAGCTTTTGCAATCTAGCATCTGTCTCTCATGACCAAGAGCGGATGAATCATAGCCTTCCCTTTCAAGGTCACATGTGGGGAAGTTGATGGGCCGATTCGTCTTAGCCTGAACACCACTTCCCAGCATGCGTTCCACTTTGGGTTGCCACACATGTTGGGTACAAACAAGAGTTATGAGGTCTCATGAATCGCTAAAAGCTACTTTGGACCTTGGCATACGATTTTGGGAGGAGGAAAGATGTGTGGGAGATGGTAAATAGTGAAAGATTGTCGAGACGCGGTAAAGCTATCTGATCCACAAGCATATCCTCAAAGGGCACTCTGAATCCATGAGGATTGGTTGCCTCTCATGTGAGAACCTCATTTTCAAAAGATTATTCTCTCTTTTCTTTCTTTTCTAACACGCACAAACTTGTAAAAGCTTCAAGTTCACTTTACAAACAAAAGAGAGTCTCGCACACATGCTCTTCCTAAAATAGCAAACATTATCAACTGACACAAGAGGAATAATATAGTAAATCCCTCATACACCGTTACTCTAATCATGCAACTATCACCTAGAAAACACTACACATCAATTATCTATCAAATTAAAGCATATCAAGTAAGAAATTGCAAGGAACAACGTGATTTAAAGCCTCAAATTTGATAGAATTTGGGTAGTGCGTTCAAGGTTCCAAAACAGTATCGTTTGACCATTAATCACCACAACACAAATGTAATTGCTAGTATACACTCCCATAGGCATTTATCAACGTCTTAAATTCATAAACAAGGGAGGACACTAGCAATTCATGATTCAACAAATCAGGATAATCATTCAAACACTTACACACATCACCCCACACTAGAGAACCACAATGTCCTCAATGTGGGAGATTAAAAAAAGAAGATCGTGAAGGTTACCATAGTACATGAATGGGTGCGAAGGAGCGAGTTTTGGGACGTTTTGGAGTGATTGGGCAAAGAGTAGGGAAAAGTTACGTCCAGACCTTGAAAGTTACAGTCTGGACCATAACTTCCCCATGCAGCCCATAACTTTGGAGGAGCAAATACCAGAGATCCAGACGAACTTTTAAAGTTATATCCAGACCTAGACCGTAACTTTTCCTCCACACCCGTAACTCTGAGGAAGTAAGGCTATAGTTCCAGGAGCGTTTTTAAAGTTACGGCCTCCTCCTCAAAGTTATAGTCTCAACCGTAACTTCCCCTTTTGAGCCGTAACTCTTAGTTTACGGAGTGCTTGAAGTGTCGCCATTTTACTGGAAGTTACGGGCTGGGCAAGAGAGTTTCAGTCGTAACTTTGGCCGTAACTCGCAAATCTCCAACCTTTAAAAGGCCAGCATAGGCAGATTGCAAAGAATTCGTTTTTTTAGTTTTAAAGAGCAGAAAGAGAACCCTAGAGAGATAAATGATGAAGAGAAACCTTGGGAGCGGATTGGAGCAATCAAAGGACACTGGAGCTCGATCTTACACCTTCGGAGTGCCGATTTCTAGCTTGGAGAATATTTTCATCGCTCACATGATGATTTGTCTTCCAAGCTGATTGATGGAATCAAGATCATTGGGGTTCCTCAAGACACCATCAAGCTTTGCTACTTCACATTTACTCAGGAGAGACAGGCCAAGCTGTGCCTAGAAAATTGGCCTTCGGGGTCGATCACCACATTCACCAACTTGGCCAAGAAATTCTCACCCGCCACCATCCTCCTTCTAAAATAGCAGACCTACAGAAGGAGATTACTCATTTTTCCCAAGAGGAAGAAGAGACTATCCAGGACGCTTGGGAGAGACACAATGGTCTCTTCCTGAAGTGTCCCAATAATGGTTTCAATGACGCCTTCAAGTTGGGCACCTTCTATCGTGCTCTCTTTCTCGTAGACAAGCAGATGATTGACTCGGTCTGTGGCGGGAACATACTGACCAAGACGCCACCGTAGCTGAACGAGCTCTTTGACGAAATGGCAGAGTAGGTTATGATTGGGGGTATGCAAGGAGGACTCGACGAGCATCGGGCCGTGGTGTTCATGTTGTGGACACCCAGTCATCTGACTTGGTGCAGGTGGTCACTAAGCTGGTCATGACACTTGTTATAAACGGGATGGTTCCTGGTGCAGAGCAGCAACAGGAAATGTATTGGCATTGGTGCGAGAGCAACCACCACACATTAGAAGACAGTAAGGCGATGAGGGAATCTACTACACCCCAAGAGCAGCTGGACTTCATCGACAATGCTAGGCGTTTTGACCCTTACAGCAACACCTATAACGAGGGGTGGCGCCAACATCCTAACTACTCTTGGAGTGGCAATAATCCTCAGCCACCAGTCTCCCAAGGACCACCTGGCTTCCAGAGATCGTTGTACCAGCCCATACTAGGGCAATTCCGGTAGTAGACACAACCTCTCTATCCGCCCAGACAGGGACAAGCTCTTTCTCAACCGCAAACGAGGCCATTTAAGCAGTTGAGCGCGACCCCTGCAGTCCCAGTACCGAGTGATCCAATGGCGCGGGCCTTGCCAAAAACAACCAATGTAGTCAAAATCGCGCTTTAAAACTTAAAAACTTATGATTTTACGTTTCTAGGTTACTAAAAGGCTTCTACAGAAAATATAAGTTTTTATAACTTACGTAGTTAAAAGCTCTGCTTTAAAACTTAAAAACCTACTATTTTACTCTTCTAGATCACCAAAACGTTTCTACATAGAAACTCCCTTTTGACTACATTGGCAACAACGCTCATAAACTTGGCAATATGGAGCGATTCATGAAAAAGCCTCCAGAAAGTTCCTGGATCTTGAAGCTGGTCAAAAGTGTGACTGCAGTGCCATTACCATCATGAGCGAAAATGTGACTGCATATATTCCCGTCAAGGACACGCAGGAGGATGAAAGACCTACTTCAGCACTTCCAGCAAAAGAGGAAGAAAGGGAGAAGGAGGTCGAGGTGTATGCTCCTAATTTGACGCACCCTCTAAAATAACTAAAATATGTTAAGTACAACATATAGTATCTAAAATGTGAGTGTGTGGATTTTAGATAAGTGAATAGCTACATGAAATTCATAATTAAAATGTAATATCTAACACATAACCTAATTTGTGTTGACTCAAAAGTAGAGAAAACTCATATCTTAATAATAAGCTTATAAATGTAGATCGTAACCCGTAAACGAGCTTGAGAATCCAAATTCTCACAAGCTGGTTTGAGTTTACATAATTACATTCGATCAATTACCCATAAACTTTAATCGTAACCCAGGTAAAAGCCACAGGTGAA